AGAACTGGGTTTTGGATATCAGTTCGTGTCAAAATGGCCATGTGGTCCATAGTTAGAAATGCCTTCAAACAGCAAAACACATTGTCGAGCAAAAAGAATGTCCGCAACAAGAATCTTATATTGTTATTCCTAAGCTTTAATAAAACAACTCTATAGTAGGTTACCTCTTTAAACGACACCTTAATTATATATTTACCTGACGAACTTCTGTGTGTTTTACCTTTTTTCAAGGTAATGTCAAAATTAAAATGGAATTTTTGACTTTTTTTACTTTACAGTAATGAAAGAACGCAATTTACTCTTTATATTAGAGTACTTTTCGCCACAGTGGATTACTTCCAGGATCTGTTCTAAGTTTTCGAATGCAAAAAATAGTCGCCGAATTTTTAGGACGATACTGCCATAATTATGAATCTTTTGCCTGTTCCTTTTCTAAATTACACATAAGAGGAAATTATTGTCTGCAAACAAGTATATTTCTACCCGATTTAGATTGAATAAGATCTGCTTTTGCCTAAACAATCACGATAATATATAACAAGTTTCCGTTTACAATCTAAAGACTTAGTGTTGGGAAACAAAAAAAAACTTCACAGTTGACAAAAAGTAGGTTTAAAAAATAAAATTGGTCCTTCTTTCTCAAAATAAATGCGATTCCTTAAACTTCGCTTCACTTACATCTGTAATAATTCGGACAACATTTTCCGGTTCTGGAAGAGATATGTTTCACACTTTTTAAAACTTATTTTCGGGTTCTCCAATGGCATAATGCATACGAATAAAAAGTTCCGTTCTGTCATACTTAATAGCATAGGAGATTCCTTCGATAGGAGACTACTCTAAATTTCGCCAAAATTCATGCCCATTACCCTTAATAAAGTTAACTAGAAAGGCAGTTTTCTGTACTGAAAGGCTTTCACAAGATTAAATCCATTCATTGGATCAAAATAGCATGAACAAATATGTACTAAACTACTAAGTCAAATTTAGTCATGACTTTTGCATGCAGTACTTGCCATACTATACCTCATAGTTTATGCGATTACCCTATTCTGCCTTTGCATTTGATGTATCGCCTTACTTATTTTCTACCTTTGCTTCTCCTCCCTAACTATAGCTCTTAAGACCAAATCGATGGACGGTGCGACGGCCTCCTTGCCGGCGGGAGTCCTCGACCGTATTAAGCGCGAAGCCAAGGAACGTCGCGACGAACTCATAAAATGCATCCGATTTGAGCTCATGTCGCTTTCAGAGTTATCTAACGAGGTTCGAGCCTCCAAACTTCTCTCCGCAGACGCCCTTCTCGACGCGATTAGCTCGAAGACGTTGAAAACTTCGGACCAGTTAAACCTCCGCGGGCGCCTTTGTAAGTCTCTCTACTTAAATAAACCTGCCTACTTTGCGGAATTTAGTAGGCGTTTCTTATAGTTGTCAATTGTTCCCGTTGTACAGTACCTGAAGTGAACCTTGCTGTGCCGAGGCTGGGCTGCTCCCTGGTCGCAGGCAATCGGGGGAGTTATCCTTTCTTCTTTCTGGACACCACACCTGTCAATGAGCTGTCCGGCATACAAGTTCCAGAGGCTGATCTGTCGTCCGCTGGTGGTACGCGGACTGTGCAGCAGAGTTTTGCGGATCCAAATCCGTCTTCTCAGCGCACCGCTGGACAGAGATTCCCGCGTCTTTCCTCAACAACTCAACCCAGCACCAGTCACTATCCGCGAGCCGATGGGTTTATTCCTGGTGACGTTCCTCTGCCTCAGCTGGATCCGCAAAACGCCGCCAATGGCTCTCCGTGTAAGCTAACTTCTATCTTTGCTGCTGACTGATACAGAGTGCATGCTTCGAGGCAATCTCTCCTAGGGCCAGCTGTTGTTTCATAAAAAATAGCCAGGCATCTCCAAATAAAATAACAAATCTTCTACTTTGGAGTGTAACTTTCTGTCTACCCAATTTATTGAATAAACGCGGAGATTAAACTAGGTTGCGTCAAATGCAACCGTAACTACGACTTGTACTCTCTTTTTTCGGTATATAAAACCTGTGTGCATCAGTCAGGATAAATTAATAC